GTTAAACATTCTTTTAAAAATGAAAGTTTATTGATTTATTACACTTACACATTACGCTTTTATAATTATTAGTTGTAAAACGGTCACCAGGCAATATTATCGTTTATCGCAATAAATTTTGAGACAATTAATCGCCCAGCAAAATTTGTTATCGTGACAGGCCTAGTCCCAACAAACATTGTCCCAACAATTCCAACAAATATTGTCCCGACAAACATCGTCCCAACAAACATCCCAAAATACATTGTCCCAAAAAAAATCACTCTATCAAGCATCATGCCAACAAACATCATGCCAACAAGCATCACACCAACAAACATCACACCAACAAACATCCAAACAAACATTGTCCCAACAAAAATCACTCTATCAAGCATCATCCCAACAAACATCAACCCAACAAACATCGTCCCAACAAACATTCGAACAAACATTGTCCCAATAAACATCCCAACAAACATCATCCCAACAAACATCGTCCCAACAAAAATCACTCTAACAAACATCATCCCAAAAAACATTGTCCCAACAAATATCATCCCAATAAACATTTTCCCAACAAACATCATCCCAACAATCCCAACAAATATTGTCCCAGCAAACATCGTCCCAACAAACATCGTCCCAACAAACATCGTCCCAACAAATATCATCCCAAAAAACATTTTCCCAACAAACATCATCCCAACAATCCCAACAAATATTGTCCCAGCAAACATCGTCCCAACAAAAATCACTCCCATCGTCCCAACAAACATCGTCCCAACAAACATCGTCCCTACAAACATCGTCCCTACAAACATCGTTCCAACAAATATCGTCCCAACAAACATCGTCCCAACATACATCGTCCCAACAAGCATAGTCTCAAACATTGTCCCAACAAACATCATCCCAACAAACATCGTCCCAACAAACATCGTCCTAACAAACATAGTCTCAACAAACATAGTCTCAACAAACATTTCTCAACAAACATTACCTCAGCTCACCTGATGCTGTTCCACATGTTGAACCCATCCAGTGGCTTTGTGCCATTAATCTTCCCACCTGCCAGGCTAACAAGAGTAGGTAGCCAGTCAGAGATGTGGATCAGTTCATGGTTGACAGTCCCAGGTTTTTCCAGCAACAAGCTGGTGACGAATCCCACTCCACGGACCCCTCCTTCCCACAGGGAAACTTTCCTCCCCCGCAGAGGCCAGTTGCTGCCACCAGCTAGAGTCTGACCTCCATTATCTGCCAATGAGACAAAATGATGATGTTAAAAACTTAAAGTTAGAACAAGTTTCAATTTCAGAAATGAACATTCCTCATTATTGTATACCTTTGGGTTGTATTGGTTTTACAGGCTGCACATTAATGGAGATTCTGTAAGGTTCTGCTTCCAGATAATAAATTGGATCATTTTAGCTGCCTCCTTTAAAATATTTCTAAGGAAGCCACTGGTTTCTTAACTTAAAACAAAATTCAGGTCATCATTTTAACAAAGCCTAACAGATAATTACTTTTAAAAAGTAAAACATTCACATCCATTTTATTTATATAAAAAAGTATGTTTTGATTTCAACGAAACAGGTAAAGTGACTATCAAAACACTTGTTGAGTGACATGATCTGCTCCATGTAATATGAATTGTTTTTTGTTTGTTTACCATAATGGAATTACTTTTAAGATGGCACATATTCACAAACACAATGAGTCCATCATTTAGACATATCAGAAATTTGAAAAAATAAGCGGAGTTTGAGATCATTCATAAAAGTCTCATCAAAGCAAATATAAAGATGATTTTGATACTGATAACTAGAGGAATATCATTTTTAGTTTTAAAAACATCCAAACATGATGTCAACATATGATGTGGGTATAATTCTGGCCCCAGAGGCCTTGCTAAACGAATCAACTGCATAATGATCTGTTCACTTTCAGAAAGCTTTCTTATGGATGACTGGATGTATTTTGAGATAAGCTAAATATCCAAAAAAAAAAAAACCTAAAGTCACAGAATTCCTTAAAAGAATAAATATCACCTGCCGCCTTTCATAGCAGAGTTTGAAACTCAGATTTTCTTTTGATGGGAAGAAACTAAGTCAAAACCATTTTAGTCAAACCTTGTAAAGAAACATGATATTGCGAGATCTGTTAGTGCTCAGTGTGAGTGTGTGAATGAGTCTCAGCTGCTACAAAAACACAACTTCAACTGAATATCTCTAAAACTGACTCAGCCATGGCTATTTTTGCGTTAGCTGAGGTTGGTTAGCTGTAGTTGTTTTTCTTTCGGCTGTTCCCTTCTTCAGGGGTTAGCAAAAGCACGCAAAAGCACGCAAAAGCGCATGAGAGATTTGGCAACTGTTGTTACACCAGATGCCCTAACCTGGGCTTGATCCCACTGCTTCAGGATTACACGGCTCTGATCACTGAGTTACTGTGACACAGTTACCATAATTAGCTACAGTGACCATCATAAGGTTAACTCTAAAAATTAATCAGTTGAAGATGCACATCCAGTGATTACTTTCCTAAAGTTTCATTAAAATTAGTTCAGTGGGTCATCAGATATTTTTACTAATTGACAAAGTTGACTTTAATAATTAATGGGAAAATTTTAAAAGCAGATTCTGTTCCCCAAAAGGTGGGAATAACTCCCATCTAACACCATGCTAAATTTTAGCTAAACAGCAGTACAACTGACCTATTGCAGTCATTTTTGTTTTTTCTGAGGTTGCTCAGTTGAGGCAGTCATCTTGAGGGTTGAGAAATTACCCTTATAACTTCTAAAAAAAGGTAAGAATTTCAGCAGTCCTTTCATCTCCAGGGAAACACAAATGATGGATCGAAATGACCAAATAATCTATCCAACAAACCAACCAACTTCCAAAGAACTGCTGAGAACCAATGATGTCATAACAATACAGCAATGTTCCAGTATGGTCCAATAGTCCAATATAAACCCACCTGACCAATCAAATTCAGGCAGGGATCGCTTTTCAGCTAGCAGAGTGCCATGGAAGTTCAGGAAATAGTCTGTGTCAAACTGTTGTGGAAAAGATTGCCTACTCCTTAATGCCTTTTCAAGCTGTTTGGTGCTTTGCAGGTCAGTTCCGTCTTTCCCCGTTCCTGGCAGTTTCTCCACAGCTTTCTTGCTCATTTGCTTTCAGTAAAGTCCCAGTGAGGCAGTTAGTTTCCAGAACGCTGCATTGCAAAGAGAATGAGTTCAGGGCTCATTTATTTCCTGTTAGGCTTGACACAAATCAGCCAACAATAACACTGTGACTGTCGGACTAATAAAACTATCAATAAAGCTGCCTTTGACTGATTCAACTCTAGTCAAGTCACAGATTACTCAGATGTGTTTCATGTTTACACAGAAGCAATAAGTTTGCCAAATGTTAAGCAGTCAGTCTGCTAGCAGGAATCCCTCAAACCAAAGCCAACTGAAAATATGAAAAGAAACAGACCACCTAACGCAGGCAACCACAATAAAAACACTCACGTTTCACCTTCACAGCATTGTTCCTACTCTCTAATTACCCTTTAAAAGATTAAAAATAACCTTAAGCAGAGCCATCTACTTCAGATGCAAATCATTAAATGTTCCACATGTGGAAAATTGTGAGCACACATGTTTAGATGACGTGCACAAAACCTCATCCTGCTCAGATGATGTTCTTCATCAAATGTCTTTCAGATGGATAATTGTCAGTAGTCCAGGTGATTCAGTGCAAACAATGACAATGAGAGACTCTAGTGGACATTTTGAGCCTTACAAGAGGACTTTTTTTTTTATACAAGTACTTCTACTGATTAAGGATCTGTGTACCTTGGTTTAATCTCTTTTTGTGGTTCTTTTGTTATTCGTGTTCTTTGTGTTTTGCTTTCTTGTTTTAATCGTGTCTCTTTTGCTCTGTGCCGTTCTCAGTTTCACCTCCTCTCTGATCTTCCTGTCAACCACTCTCATGTCACTCGTTTGTAACCAATCTCCTCGCCAGGTGTTGCTCATCTCCTCTCTCCACTATCTCGCTGGATTATTGTATGGCTAACATCATCTATCTTAGTCTCCTGAGTTTCCCTGTTGCCTCCCTGAGTTTTTGTAAGTTGCTGCCTCGACAGCTTTTAGTTTTATTTAATAAATATCTTTATTATTTGAACTTCTTGGGTCCGCCTGGATTTGGGTTCATTCAGCTGCTCAAGAGCTGACAATCAGTAGAGGCAAAAAAAAAAAAAGGAAAAAAAAGCTAAATATACAGGTATACACCAGCTCTTTTCTCATACACATTTGTATTAATTAAATAAGGATCTCTATACTTTATTTTCCCAACACTCTGCCTCCATTCATTCATCCTCTGCATCCATTCATTTGAACTGCAGCACCTATTACTAACGTGGACATCAGCGTTTCCCTACCATTATTCAAGGGGGGCGGCCCCCCATGAAAATAATCCCATTTCCTTTTCCTGTTAGATGTAGGACTTCTTAGTGACTGCTCATCAATAAATTAACTGACACCTCAAGTTTAATAAATACAGTTTATGATGTGACCCAGTTTTAATATGGCCAGAACATTTCCGTAGGGTAGGAACGAAGACCTACTGGTAAACAGAGTCCGCAATAATGTGATAGCTGCACCAATCTGTCTGTCAATCTCATGCTCCATTCTTCTCTCACTGGTGAACAAAACCCAAACATACTTCAACTCCTCCACTCAAGACAGACCCCCCCCCCCCCCCCCAACACACTTGAGGACTATGGCCTCAGAGTTTGTGTCTAACTAAAGATGTTAGACGTTTTGTTAAATTCACTTTATTGTACTGTAACTTTGTTCATAGTAATTTACGGTTTAAAAGTCTAAGCGTAAACAGCAGTTTTGTGGACTCTGCACTGGTCTGTTGTGATGATGAGGGAGATGAGTTCTTAGGCAAAACTCTGTTTACTGGTCAGTCTACATTCCTATGGCCACGAACTTTGGGCAGTGACTGAAAGAACAAGATCACGGACACAAGCTTTCGAAATGAGCTTTCTCTGCAGGGTAGCTGGACTCTCCCTTAGAGATAGGGTAAGAAGTTTGTTCATCCGGGAAAGACTCAGAGTAGAGCCTTTGCTCCTCCACATCGAGAGGAGCCAATTGAGGTGGTTTGGGCATCCAGTGAGGATGCCTCCTGGACGCCTCCCTAGTGGGGTGCTTCAGGCATGTCCATCTGGGAAGAGACCCCGAGGAAGTCTCAGGACACACTGGAGAGACTATATCTCTCAGCTGGCCTGGGAACACCTTGGAGTCCTCCCAGAAGAGCTGGAAGAGGTGGTTGGGGCGAGAGAGGTCTGGGCTTCCCTGATCAAACTGCTGCCTCCACGACCCGACTTCAGATAAAGCGGAAGAGGATGGATGGATGGATGGATGGATGGATGGATGGATGGATGGATGGATGGATGGAAACACCACTTAAATAGCTTACTTTGAGTCTTTTTCATTCAGTGGAAACCTCCACACCTCTAGTAAAACATTGCTGGCTTGCAAAAACTGTGCTTATGGTGCATTCATGGACTAAGGAGAAAAAAATGGATTTTTGAGCTTTAGATTTGATATTCTTTAGTCAGCTGAAGCTCAGATGATGTCTTTCAACAACAGATTGTCAAGTGAGTCTCTACTTATTGCCCACAAGGCAAAAGGGAGAAAATTATTTTATTTTTGTCTGCGCCTGTGTGATATTTTGTTTACATAAACAAAATATCACGAATCACAGGACAAGTTTTAGAGAAACTTTAAGAAAGTAATTATTGTCTGTATGCGTGCAAACAAAAAAATGGCTATAGCACAATCAGTGTCACAAATACTGAGCTCGATTTTGGTGAAGTAGTTCCCCCAGTATTTAGATTTGTTTCAGACATAATATCCAGATGCCTTCAGCGCCCTGGAAAAGCTAAACTCTGGTCCTAACAGTTCAGTTTTATAACCAGCTCTCTGTCCATGACCAGAAGTAGGTCTAAGTTTTGACTGACTTCTTTCATCACTCAAAGGTGACGGAGTAGGTTTGGTTTCACAGTGACGCCGTGAAACATACCAGTGGAGAACACAAGGACTGTGTTGTCCCAGAGTCCTGTTTGCTGCAAGGCCAGGCTGATGTTCCCCACAGCCTCGTCCATGGCCGACACCATGCCGGCGTACAGCCTACGATGAGGGTCTTTGATGAAACTGTAGGGGGTCAGGTAGCGCTTAGGAACCTGCAGAGGTTCGTGCACCGACTGCAGAGCCAGGTAGAGGAAGAGTGGCTGAAAGATAAAAGAATAAAAACCACCTGTAAGATCTACATACAACCAAAAAAAAATGTTTAACAATTTATGTCTTTACAGTTAGGACAGGTGCAGCAGTACAGCTATGAAATCTTCAAGTAAGTATAATAAAATGATCACATGGGTCAAATATCTAAATATAAGCTGCAGACCATCACACCACTACGTATGACGTTTTTTGTCTTGTAACAACATCCCTGTCTAAAAAGACGATTGTACACGCTCATCAAGCGAGTTCTTTTAAATTAATTTTTATAAAAATTACAAATTAGATTATATAACCTGCCTGGCCTTAGCCTGGCTCTTGGCTTCTTACACAGCTCTGCTCAGTTCTAGTTTCCTTCTCTGCTCTGTCTGGGACTTCTCCCATTGACAAGGATTTGGCTGGCAGATTTTTAGCCGGGCCAATCAGAGAAGAGAACGTTGATTTTCTGCGCAGTGTCTGCTTATAGTTTATTTTACCTGGACCAATCAGCAAACAGAAGGCGGAGTTTTGAACGACGTCAATTTTCTGCGCAGTGTCTGCTAGTTATTTTAGCATACGGCAGTGGAGGAAGTGAATGAAGCCAGTCCGTGTTGATAAGACTTCAAATTAAAATAAATTAGTCTGACAAAGCAGCAGCTCTCATTTACAGTCGTCTCGTTCAGCTCAGTATATTTCTCCTCTCAGTAGGGTTGTTTACAGCACACGCTATTTCCGGTTAGCTTCTTAGCTTAGCCTCCGTCACAGCGACAACACACACATGCTTCAGCAGAGGCCACGCCTCCTACATGAAACGCTTCTCTATGCAGATAGTCCAGACCCTTGTACGAAGCAAAGTGAAGGACAGGGTCTGGTTTAAACCTGGCTAGCCTGGCCTCAAAAACAAAGGCTCAAAACGAGCAGACACTTAAACTTAGAAGTGCTCGTGGGAGGGGCACTGGTTAATAAACAAAAATCAGCTGTTCATACGTATCTTGTAAAATATTCACCCTTACAGTCCTTCAAAATAAAAATAACAGCAAATCCCATTAATTAAACTTCATGTCAGAAAAAAACGAGTCTCAGAATCAATTTCACTTTTCAATATTTCACAAAATGAGATCTCTCAAAACCCGATAAATAGTCCAATAATTACACTGCAGCGCAAAAAAAATAAATTAATAAAATAACTTCAGATCAAAAACAAAAAAATATCGTTGGGGCCCAGAAAAAATCATCAACATTCGTCTCTTAGTATAAAAAAATAATATGGAAACGTCTCACCGGGTCGGCGTTTCTACCTTGAGGCCTGGAGCGCTGTGGCAACCTGGAGTTGCACAGACTTAGTTTAATTGCTTTCACCTGTGTTTTCTCCCCTCTGACCTTAATTAAATTATTCTTGTCACCTGTGTTAGTCACAGTGACTGCTCCTTTAAGAACCACCCTCACTCTCAGTGGTTGGTGCAGCAGCTCTCCAAACCTGCATCAACATTGCTCCAGAAACAAGGTGTTTAATCCCTCTGTGGACAAACCTTTCAGTCATGGAGGTAAATTGCTGAAGCTGAACCAAACACAAAGTCTGCTGGGAACTGACGCCCAAAAGCTTCGTCTCGGCGTGTCATTCCTCACAGCAGTAACTTCTTGTCACCAAAACAAATGTAAGTCTCCTACTAAAAACTTAAAATTAATGTATAAATAATATAAAACTAAAAACCAATAATCTTGTTTCTTTCAGTAAAACCTGTCCAGCTGTCTCTAAAAAGCACACTCAACAAAAATTGTTTTTATTTTAAATTAAGTCATTTCCATGGAAATGACTTAATGTAACAATAGTAATTGTATTTATTTTGTGTGTTTTAGCTCCTGGATGGAGTTCTTTTTTTTTTGTATGGAGTATTTTTGTATAAAGGTGTATTTTCTTTTGTGGGAGTTTTTCTTTTTGTGTTAAGTTTAATCTCAACATAGATTTATTTATTTATTTATTTTTGTACTTGTAGAAGTCAACCATCTGTTCTTGCAAAGCCATCTTTTTAGTGCTTGTGAAGCCAAGTCACTCTGGACTSTTGAACTAGTGGTTCCAAGCACCACTTATGGACACTGGGAGGAAAGAGGATATATTTTGTATTGTTTTGGATTTTTTTTTTGTTGTTGTTTGTAAATAATATATTTTGAAAAGTAAGACTCCATTGTTTGTGCTCACTTTAACATTTTGTCACTGATTGTTTATTTAAAAGTTAACCAGGGTATATAGTTATATTTTCTTATGTAATTTTCATGTCCTAGTGTGCGGTAAAAACTTAAACAACGCCCCACTCCTCTCTCTCCCTGTCCCTTGTTGTATAAGTTCGGTCAAGCCGTGACCCAGATAATTCATTCAGTGAACATATGAAGACAAAAATAAATATATACAAGTCATTCTTGCATCTAGGATAATACAAACGTTTTATGTTTTATTCTCTTTATTTTCATAGAATACTGTATTTTAATGTGATTGTCACAGTCTGACATAAAATATTAGTTTCACACCAGATGTAACAGGACACGCATCTTTCTAAACATCTGTCTGTCCACAAAATAATATTTACCCAGAAGTCTTGGGAATGACTGAGAGATGTTTTTGACAAATGTGGGACGGACGGTCTTGTTTAGTTCAGCTGTAGTTTTGGTCTTGGAACTCTCCACAGAGACTTCTTAAATGAGCCCTTGATGCAGCCATAGGCATTCTGGTGCAGGTTCAGCACTGTTCCACATGGGACGTAAGGTTGCCACCGAGTGGAGATTTGATGCAATCCGCTGACTTCCTTCCTTACATAAATCACTTTTACTACAGTGGAGTATTTTATAATACATGTGGATGTTTTCCTTTAATGTCCTGAGACAACATTTGTTGTGGATTGGTGCTATATGAATAGCTGGAATTGAATAGTTTTTTTTTAATAAATATTAGTTCTATTTAAAGTGTATCTTACCCTCCCTGTGAAAAGATAACTCCGCCCCAAGGCGAAATTTGAAAAATGCATCAAAGTGGGTAGGTGAGGGGGGGTTAGAGAGCGGAGGTGTGGCCAGGACGAGAGAACGTGACAGCCTCGGCTGAGCTGTCCGCCTCACAGGACAGAGGAGAGGAGCGCTCAGCAACAACCTGACAGAAAAAAATAAAAGCATACAGCTGCAGCTGCTCACAAGATCACGTTTAAATCAGGAATAAAAGTGTTGGGTCTTGTTTGACTGAAGTTTGGTCAGTTAGGGCTGCAGCTGCCCCGCTGTGTTTCTGCCTTTTTTTCCCTCCTCCCCTCCTGCTGTGCAGGATGGTGTGTGTGTGTGTGTGTGTGTGTGTGTGTGGAGAGAGCAGCGCAGCAGTCAGCTCTCTCCACCCAAGGCTGAAGGTCAACAGACGATCATGCTAAGTTTGCTAACTGTTCCACCCTCTGACTGCTGCAGGGGCGTGTCTTAGAGAGAGGCTTTTATACCAGAACACAGCCGCTGTGACGAAACCGTGGAGAAGACACGTCACCGTGGAGAGCCGTTAACCAATATGTGAATTAGCCTGCAGTACCACTGCTCCACCCATATGAGCAGCAAAAAGACGCTTTTAGACCAAATGTTACAAATTTTAACAAATACGCACAAAAACATCAAAATTAGCACGGAAACAGTACTATATAACATTTTAGACACATTCTAGACAGTTTGTCAGCTAAAAAAAGTTAATTTTGGGGTAAGTTACTCTTTAAGTGATTTCTTGATCAGGCCTAGGTGAGTTAATGAAACTAAACTCAGCTTTTCAAAACAACTCACTTTATTTTTCTTTCTTTCAGATTGATTTGGAGAGCTTTGTTCATTTAATAAAACCATCATTTGAAAACTTTACTTTGTATTTCTTCAGGTTGTCTTTGCTGGATATTAACTTGTTTAAATGTGTGAAACAAGCAAAATTGGACGCAATATCTAAAGGGAGCAAATGTTTTTACACTGCATCAGGTCATATATAACCTTTCCACATAATCCTACTTCAATGTGACTAAAAAATTTTTCATGTTTTCTATTATGCTCTTGTTTTTAGATACACAAGAGCGTGCACAAGTTACACTGTTTGGCTTTCAGACAATCTGAAACAGATTTGTTCTTATGCATTTAAACATGGCTCATATTTGAAAGCCCTAAAGACTCAGACTTCCTCCTGATAAACCAACCTAAACTGAATCCATGAAAACATTCATGAGTAGACGTTACCTTGCTGGAGTTGTGATTTTGGATGATGCTGATGGCTCTCTGGCTGAACAGCTCCGTAGAATAAACCCCTTTATATGCGGTGGCAACCTCCTCCCCGTTCCTCAGGTCCAACGCACAGCGGGTCAGGTTCAGAGGAGAGATGTGGTAGCAGCGCTCATGAGAAAAGTAGTCCTCACTTCCTGTCAGGTAACCTGGATCACAAAGAATGAAGTCATTCCGCAGGAGTGGACAACTGGGAAGACAAATATGTCACTATCTCTGATTTAGACTAATTATTGCCAAAAGGCAAAAAGCAAGTTATTTTCAAGTTTAATCAAAAGAGATTATTTCTATTTTACAGTTTAAATAGAATAATTAGAAATAAAGGTACTGTGGTGCTATAAAACTATAACTTGATAAATCTTTACAATAACTACACCTTATTAAGCCTTACTTAATCATTGATAAATAGTAAGTAAAGTTTTATTTATGAAGCGCCTTGCACAAATATAGTCACAATCATTAACAGTATGGAAATGGTGGAAAGAATAAAATGAAACAGAAAAACATCATTACACATAAGCAATGATAATTGAAACATCAAATCAAGAAGTAATTTCTAAAATTGTAAATCAAACAAAAGGTCAATGCAGGGCAAATTATACAATAGTACACAAAAACATAATGAATGTGGGAGAGAAAATATGGTGTAAGATCAATAATAAATAAAACACAAGCATTCACAATGGAGGTAGGCTGGCAGTAATGGTGAAATGGTTAGCTAAACACTTCAGTGAAACGGTGAGTTTTTAGGAGTGATTTGAAAGAGACAATGGGCCTCATGCAAGAAC